GTCCTCAGTCGCGCTTAAATGCGACACAAACGAATGGACCTGCCTGCTCAGTGCCACTTGCAGTTGCCACTATATCTGCCGTGAGCTATCAGTACTCGGCCCAGAAGAATAGAGTCATATCCTTAATTATCTGTGTCAACGTCAGTATCACATCACTTGCCTTAATTGGCTTGACTGTACACATTCTGTTTTGTTATTTCCTTATCTGTATTCCCGCGCTTTTCTTCTTCTCCTCCGTATTTATTTCTTCTTAACGTACCTACGCTTCTTATATCTGTCTCTTCTTTACTTCCTGTCTGTCTCCGCATTTCGTTTCAGAATTATATCCTGCGGCTTCTTATCCAGATTAACGGAGTTTTGTTCAGGGGGCTCTACACACAACTGCCTCATTAGGTCGTTGTGGAGGGAATTTATTACATTAATTTCTATTTATGGTTAAAAGTTGGAGGTATTCATACAAGTTAACAATTGAGAAATCTGCAGATAAGTCGTTAATATTTGTTGTTCTGAGGTGAAACCTAAATTCCTCTAAATAATACCTGAAAATTCAGTTAACCTTTCAGAGGAACGCACCGAGTCGCCGCTTTGAAGACCAGGCACTCGGGTAATGTGTTTTGTTCCCTTGTGCACCTCGTTCCTCTGCTCTCTACAGCAGACGTTACCACATTATGTATAATGCAGTCATTAAATGCGCACCGGAGTACTGGAGTTTGAAGTCAGAAAATTAAGTGAATTTCTTCCTCGCCACGATTACTCCCAGACTGACTCTGAGATACACACAGCTTCCTCTTTAGCGGGCAAGAATATCTGCTGCGACAGAGCTACTACACCATGAATCTAACACTTAACTCCATCTAGCGCCGCGTTTATGAATATGTGGAGCTATACTCCAACCAGTACGTACCTCTTCGTAAGCCCAAGCGGTTAGTCGCTGGCTTCCCATCGCGGCGGCCCGGGTTCGATTCCGGGTCTGGTCAAGTGGGATTTGTGGTGGACAATGTGGCGCTGGGGCAGGTTTTCTAAGAGTATTTCGGTTTCCCCTACCAATCTTTATTCTGCCAATTGCTGCACAATCACCCTCACCTATCATCTGGGGCTGGTACAATAGGCCAGAAGTGGCCGCAGTGCAAGGAACTTAGTCCCACCCCACTAGCAATAAAAAAATAATACGTCTTCGTATAATGGGGCTTAACCATTTCAAGCATGAATTTTATCTAAATAATATTTAAGAATTTATGCTAGATTTGAGGTTCTTACGGGATTACTATGAAGAATGCGAGCTTCTAGGTTGCAACGCCTTGTATTTAGGAGGAAGGCTCTCTCCGAACTACACGGCGTTACAACCCAGAAGTTCGCACAATTCATTTAAGAATTAAATCCGTGTCTCTCAGAAAACGCGCTTAGATCAATAATTTAAAGCTGTTTAAGGAAATAACAGTGTTTTATCGCGAAAATCGCAAGAAACGAATACACTGTATATGGAAAATAGAGATAATTATACTAATTTTGAAGCTGGTGGTATATAAAGTGACCATTGTGCTCCATTAAGAATCATTGGCTGTCGAGTCAGCGCTGTTGAGAGGCCAAACAATGAGTAAATGGAAACAAATCTGATATTCAGGGTTTCTCGTGGCACAGAATTTCTGTATCTCTCTATCTTTAGTGCTGCTTTGTGGTTTCATGCAAGATACAATTTGTTCCCCGTCTTAACACGCAACGCACTTCATAAATAAGAATTAAACTGTTTTTATTTGTTTATGAATAATCTTCCCGAAAGATGATATAAGATAAAGTGCTTTTACTTGATTTAAATTAATTTTAAATGTAAATTTCTGCAGCCGAGTGCCATGTTTCATTGACTACATCCAGAACTGTGACATTTGTGCTTTTCTTTACCTTATGTTAAACTTCTATGTGTGGGTTAACATCGACCTGCAGGTCTGTTAAATATTCCTTCCTTGTGTGTGTTTGCCACACCTGATAAATGTCCTGTGACTGATTACAATTACGCAAGATAAAGGAACTATGTCCGAACAGTATACCAGCAAATTGACACCACGACCGCCACTTCCCTTTACAAGGTCTGATTCTGTTAATTGCCGGGCACTGACAGGGCCCGCGTGCAGTAAACACCTAACAGTCTAGCAACACGTAAAATAGCCATGCATTTCATTTGCATGTATTTCAATATATTATGCAAATCTCCGTCAATGAACGGCCTTTTACACGGTTCCACGCTGATAGAGGGGGGTACTCACGCGTTTGTAATTGTAACGTTACATGGCGACCATTTGATCTGTTATCTGACAAAATGTTCCTCTTCTAAGCGCGCCTTGTGTCTGCTACAAACGCTTAGATCCTGCAACTGAGTGCGAAACCTTTAGATCTCGTGAGATTCGAGATCCGTATGGCGATTGTCTTGCCCTCTGGTTTGTCAGATAGTGACTAGTGAATTTACTTAAGTATGTACCTGTTACTTTTAGTTTGTTGCTCAGAACTTCGTGTCTACGTAACTAGATTAAAGGAAGAATGCTGTCTCCTGGGATGTGCAGTCTGCAGCCACCTGTTCACGCTGGTTCCTCGAGCGCGCATTTCTTCTTTCTTTTCTACCTTGAAGATGGAGGCGATACTTTCCTCCGAAACGTCGGTTTATACAATATCTACACGGCGCCACATCCCAGAAGACGGCATTCTTCACAGTTACCGCCGTGAAAACATCAAATATTACAACTTTATTAAATACTGAAATATATTCTGGCGCGGCCGGCGCGTAAGGCTGATAACCTCACCGCCATCTATGAGCCGATTGTCTAGATAATGTGGGACCCTCAACGTCTCACAACCCTATGGGCCTTCACGGCCTGGTACAGGGATAGCTTTACTTTTTTTTTATTATTCTAGCTTAGTAAATTGCTCAGTTGATTGATAGCTACTTCACTGCATAAATTCT